GCGACGCGGGTTTCTTTACTTTTCGAACCATTTCCGCTAATGTTGCTGCTTTCTTCTGTCCACTTCCTTGAAGTCGGGCTACGCTACCATTATCACGGTAACGAGCTATGCTACGAGACACAATATCAAATATAAAGAAATCACACTATCACGCTTGAATTTCATCACCAATAATTTTTTTCTAGAAAATTCTCACCAAAATGCTTTTGTACGCTTGTAAACAACGTGACGTGTGGACAGCAATCTGAAGTTGGTTGCAGTGTTTCCATCTCACCCTGTATAGATCACATTAAGAAATATGAACATTACATAATTACTGTAATTTTCAAAAGATTTAAATCTAAAATGAAACTCGTTCAACTATTGAATCCAGATACTTTTATTTATATAGGGATTTTTAAAATTTCGAACAAAATTTTTGTGTTATTGTTTTTTTATACCCTCCACCATACTATGGAGGATATATTAACTTTGTCATTCCGTTTGTAACTCCTCGAAATACTCATGTCAGACCCAACAAAGTATATATATTCTTGATCAGCGTAAAATTCTAAATCGATTTAGCGATGTCCGTCTGTCTGTCTGTCTGTCTGTTGTAATCACGCTATCTTTCGAATGAATTGAGATAGATGGCTAAAATTTTCCACACATGTTTATTTTCCAGTAGGCAGGTTAAGTTCGTAAATGGGCCATGTAGGTCCACGTTTTCATATAGCCCCCATATAACGGTACCTCCTGATATTCGGTATTTTGGCGGTTTTAACGACATTATTCACGGGAATTTTTTTCAAATTTAGTATTTGAAGTTCGTTATAGGAACTACAGTCTGTGACAGAAAATTTTCTGTGCGGGTCCAGGTCTTCGTATAGGCCCCATATATCAGTACCTCCCTATATTCGGTATTTTCATGATTTTTGCGACATTATTCACCGGAATTGTTTGAAAATTGGTATTTGAAATTCGTAATGAATACTGCAGTCTAAGATAGAAAATTGTCTGTGCAAGTCCATTTCTTCGTATAGTCCCCATATAACAGTACCTCCTCATATTCGGTATTTTGTCGGTTTTAACGACATTATTCACGGGAATTGTTTCAAATTTGGTACTTGAAGCTCAAAACGGATACTACACCCTAAGACAGAAAATTGTCTGTGCAGGTCTACGTCTTCGTATAGCCCCCTTATAACGGTACCTCCCTATATTCGGTATTTTGATGATTTTAGCGACATTATTCACCGGAATTGTTTGAAAATTGGCATTTGAAGTTCGTAATGAATACTACAGTCTGTGACAGAAAATTGTCTGTGCGGGTCCAGGTCTTCGTATAGGCCCCATATATCAGTACCTCCCCATATTCGTATTTTGACGATTTTAGGTACAATACCCACCGAAATTGTTTGAAATGTGGTATTTGAAGTTCGTAATGGATGCTACAGCCTGTGACAGAAAACTGTCTATGCTGGTCCAGGTCTTTGCACAGCTCCAATTTAACGGCACCTCCTTATATATGATATTTTAATGATTTTAGCTACATTATTTACCGTTTATTTCAAGTTTCCAATTTGAATATGGTAATGGCTTATGACAAACAATGCCTATATATGTCCACGTCGTATAGACCCCAATATGACGGCTATATTCGGTATTTTTAAAATTTTAACAGAATCTTTTAAGGATTTTATTTTTTAAAAATTTCCAAATTCGTTGCAAATGGTGGAGGGTATTAAAAGTTCGGCCCGGCCGAACATAGTGCTTTTTAACTTGTTTTAATTGATATTATTATGTGAGCATAAGTTTTAGAGTTCCAAAGTCCGAGCAGAATCGAGTAATTTAGACTCCGCTGCCTTTCTGCCTACATATAGTGAAACATTTTCTTGTATTTATGTATTCCTAAATACATACAGATATTAATACATGCTCCTTTTGAAATACCGGTGTAATGTTACCAACCTTGCCCTTTGCAAAAAAAATCTTCCAGAAGAGTATATAATTTTAAAATTTGTCATACCACTGTATGTCATAAAACGTGCCATTTCAAAATGTTGCTACCAAAAAAAACCGAAACCCATTTAAAAGGGCTACAGGAGGCTTATACGGTACACCAAAAATTGTCCCGATAACAAAGATAGCATGAACCGACGACGACAACGAATTTCAATGTAAATTGTGAGCAGAAACTTAATACATGTGACAGAAAATTCGTGCATTGTCGTGATGTGCCGTGAATTGTCTATTTGTTTAGCGTGATGATGTTGAGTTTCTTTTCACTTCCAGACAACTCGAACGACAGACGACAACATCCCGAAAGTATTTTTGCATAAGAGCGGAGCAGAAAAGATCTGACGTTGAATTAAAGTTGAAATTTCAATAGACGGCTAACAAATACTTTTGTAAAACGTATATAATTTGCAAATGAAAGACAATTCTTGTGAAATTGACAAGTGTTTTAAGGCGTTCTTTTTTGTTCTGTTGTGATTTGCATAAAGATATTTGTCATAAAATGTTAAGCATAAAAAAAATAAATAAAAAATGGAAAGAAAATGTAACGGCATTTGAGGGAAATCGCACTTGAAGAGAACCACTTATTCTGAGGGTTTGCGACACTTTATAAGAGGGACTTTTCGAAGAATGTTTAAGGAATTTTTTAGGGGAACGATTGTAAATAGGTTGATGTAACAAGGTATGATTGAGATTTATACCTTCAACATGTAACGGGCTAGGCGATTTTTCAATTCTGAATTTTCAAAGTTTTCTACGGGTTTTTTTTTAACATTCCATAATCTTTTTTTAAGAGGAATATTAAAGTTTTTCAAAGATGAGAAAACTAGATTCAAAAAAATTCATGAATTCTTATTTGAATTGATAGCATGGCCTATATAATTTAATGTTTGAAGATTATTTCATGCAAATGATGACAGCGACTGCGCCTCAAATGGTCCACCTGTTTAGTCCAATCTTGGCATACTCTTTCCAACATTTCGGCCGGTATCTTACGAATAAAAGCTTTAATGTTGTCTTTAAATGCGACAATTAAACTGGTTGGTCTATATAGGCATGATCTTTAACATAACCAGACCAAAAATAATCTACAGGCGTAAAATCGCACGACCTTTGCATTCACGTAACCGATTCCGAATTTGAAGTTAAATGTTCACGGAACTCTCCTCTCTATAAGACCATTGTTACGTGTGCTGTATGGAACCTAGCACCGTATTTTATAAAACAACATGTCACGAAAGTCCTGCTCTTGCATTCACATTATTTACCGGAATTATTTCAAATTTCGTATTTAAAGTTCGTATTGGGTACTACAGCCTATGAAAAAATTTTTGTATGTAGGTCCATGTCTTATAACGGTACCTGCCGATAGTCGGTATTTTGATGGTTTCAGTAACATTTGTAACATATATAATTTTGTATTGGAAGACTTTAATGCGTACCACAACCTATGGTAAAAAATTTCGTATGAAGGTCCACGTCTTTGTATAGCCCCCATATGACGGTACTTCCCGATCCTCGGTATTTTCATGATTTTTGCGATATTATTCACTGTAAATGTTTAATATTTTGTATTTGAGGAACTACAGTATGTGACAAAAAATTTTGTAAGCAGGTCCACGTCTTCGTATAGCCCCCATATAACGATTTTCAATTAAGTGGTAGTTTTCGGATTTTTTGTTGAAAATTTTCAAAATTTTATTAAAAATTCGGCCCGGCCGAACTCTGCTGCTACAAAAATAAATTTGCCATGTATATGATGCACCACACACGAAATTAATATCTGATTCCAATAAAATTTGGAATGAGTGACGGAATTTGGTACAAAATTGAATCTGTCAAATTATATTGAAATCGGTTGAGTTTCTAGTTTCTATACATATTTTCGACCGATTTCGTATAGTTGATGCATTAAACACCTATTTCAATGAAATTCGGAAAATGTATAATAAAATTTGGTACCAAAATAAATTTACCACATTATATTGAAATCCGTAGAGATTTAGATATAGCTCTCAGACATGTTTTCGCTCGATTTCATATATTTGATGAACCAATCAAGATATGAACCTAATTTCAATGAAACTTGGAATGAGTGGCGGAAGTTAACACAAAAATATATTTGCCACATTATATTGTAATCGGTTCAGATTCGTTTATATAGCTGCCATATATGTTTTCGTCCGATTTCATGTATTGGATACATCAAACACGATATGTATGCCCGATTCAAATAAAATTTTGAATGAAAAACGGACTTGGGTATAAAAATAAACAAACGGAATTCGGTACAAAAATTTCATGGCCAATTTCATGTATGGTATTTGATATATCGTCAATTTATATTGAAATCGGTATGCCCACCATGCATTTGCAATGGTACTAGACTAGTATCATTGTAAAAAATTTTAAGTAATTAAGGCTACAATTATTACGAACTATGTAGGTTCATATGTATTGCTAATAGCAAAAAAAGTTCCGTTCAACTTTAAAAGACCGGTCCCCGGGTCCAGCTATCTCTAAAGAAGGCTTTACCATTTAAAGAAAGGAACCCTTTAGTAACTCTCCTTATGCTTATGATACTCGAACTATAAACTCTTATTAGGTATATTGCTCAAGTAAAAGGGGAAGGGACTCACCTTCTTCTATTTTTAGAGCTTTTTCATGACCTACTAATTCTTTTTTCTTTTTTTTTTTTTCGTAATTTTGAAAAATAAAAAGAATTTGGTGCACAGTGTAATTTATACTAAAATTTAATTGTATCTATCTTCATACAAATAAAAATCCTCATTTATTGCACATATATGAACTTCACAACATGTTGCTTGTGGAATTGCCAATACATATTGAATCCTTCATAATTAATATCCTTTTAAGAGTATTGAATTCAATGCTTGAGTATTTGGGCAATCATTTTCACTTTCCTATTCCTTAGAGTTCTAATTCCAACAGTTCATTTACTTCTTTCGAAAATTTTGTATTTCTGTACTCACAACTAGGAAATGGAAAATCATAAAGATATGCATGAACACGTACAAAATGTCAGCAACGACAGCACCAACAACAACTTTGTGTCACACCACACAGAGAACACACTCACAAACAGTAAGCACACTTTGTCATACAAAACATACAAACATTTCCCTGGGAATGCAAACGAATTGAATCCTTTCGAAATTGATTTCTTATGAAATCAGCTAAAAGGAACAGCAGCAGCAGAAACATCGTCAGAGCCAATTGGGGATTATGTGAATTTGTAGAATAACAATATTCTATAAAATAAAGATATTCAGTGGCAAGGATGCCGACACAAACGTAGCGAATTTTTGAATGTGCTCTATGGGAGTGAGAAAATTTCTATGGGGTACATCACTTTCGATTAAAATCAATATGCATTATCAGGAATAAAACACATGCATACATACCATCTATATACATTGCTCAATGAGGTCAATTTGTAATAATACAAGTACTTCAGCCCGATAGAAGTGAATTTTAGTCTAGGCATTTAGTACCATAACTAATAGTTTAAATATTCAAGATGTATAAAATGGCATTAGGTAGTGAAGAAAACATAGCTAGAGATTTCACAAAAAACTTTATTATTGATTGATGGTTTTGATTAAGATTCCGCGTTGTAACCCCCATTATAAGTCAAAATAGTTTTATTTCCAAATAACAAGTTTATTCAATAAACCATACGGTATTCGAAATGGTTCGAAAAGTAAAGAAGCGACTTGATCGAACCCCGCGTCGCCGTGGCCGAAAAATGGCTCGTGAGCTTAACATATCGCAATATCCCATTCGGCAAAATGAGCTCAGGATAAATCCATTAAAATTCCAGAAAGTGCAAGAACTTAGACTCAGAAGAGCTAAAGAGTTGTTTCACTTAGTCGAAAGTGATGAAGTGGTATCAGAATAAATTCCGAATACTATCGCGAATATACTCTGGCCTTGGGCACGCAAACATTTTGGCCGCATGCGCTACCAAAATCTTCGGATACCAATCCGTTGGACTATTGTGTCTGGGGTATTTAAGAAAGTAAGGTTAGGACTAAATAAGTAAAAAAACATTAAGTTCGGCCGGGCCGAACTTTGAATACACTCCACCTTAGGGTAATGGAAACACTAGAACCAATTATGACCCACAAATACCAATTTTTAGATATATTCGTGGGAATATTTGGCAAAAATGATTAAAATAGCGAATATCGGGAGGTACCGCTATATAAAGCTATACAAAAGCGTGGACCTATACGTACAATATTTCGCCAACGGAGCTGGAACTCATTATGACCTACAAATACCAATTTTCAGACAAATCCGTAAAAAAATGTGGTAAAAATCATCAAAATACCGAATATCGGGAGGTACCGTTATATGGGGGCTATACCAAAGCGTGGACCTATACATACAATGTTTCGGCGCACGAACTAGGACCCATTATGACCTACAAATACCAATTTTCAGACAAATCCGTGAAAAAATGTGGTAAAAATCATCAAAATACCGAATATCGGGAGGTACCGTTATATGGGGGCTATACCAAAGCGTGGACCTATACATACAATGTTTCGTCGCACGAACTGGAACCCATTATGACCTACAAATACCAATTTTCAGACAAATCCGTGAAAAAGTGTGGCAAAAATCATCAAAATACCGAATATCGGGATGTACCGTTATATGGGGACTATACCAAAACGTGGACCGATATATCTCATTTTCAATACCAACCATCCTAGACACAATACAAATTATTCTGCTAAACGGCAAATAATGTGGGCTGTATCGTGATTTCAACAGACAGACGGACATTGTTAAATGCTGATCACGAACGCTGGCGTAACAGTTTGTATTGTGTCTAGGTACCGTTATATGGGGGATATACGATACCGTCTACCTATATAGACAACTCTCTTTTAGGGAGTAAAGTACTCACAAAGGACTTCTTGTGTGGATTACCAGACAATTCCGTTGGAAAATGTGGCTAAAATCATCAAAATACCGAATATCGGGGGGTACCGTTATATGGGGGGCATACGATATCGTGGATCTATATAGACATTTCCTTTTCAGGGTGTGAAATACTCACAAGGAACACCTTGTGTGGATTTTCAGACAGTTCTGTTAAAAAATGTGGGAAAAATCATCAAAATACCGAATGTCGGGGGGTACCGTTATATGGGGGCTATACGATATCATGGACCGATTAACCCATCTTCGAACTTGACCTGCCTGCAGACATAAGAGAGATCTGAGCAAAATTTTAGCTTCCTATCTTAGTTCGTTTAGACTGTAGCGTGATTACAACAGACGGACATACGGACGGACAGGGCTAAATCGTCTTAGAATTTTACGCTGATCAAGAATATATATATTTTGTTGGGTCTAAAATGATTATTTCGATGAGTTACAAACGGAATGACGAACTTAATATACCCTCCATACTATGTATGGTGTAGGGTATAAAAATGGAAGGTTAAAATCTTAAAAATACCAAATTTATAGATTTGTTGTTATTTTGGGGTCACGGGCTATAGTACTCTTTACGAGGTGTAAATATGAAATTTGAAACAATTCTGGAGAAAAATGTAACTAAAATCGTCATAATACCGAATATAGGGAGATACCGATACTTAGGGGCTAAACGAAGATCTAGACCTGTTTGGGAACTCCAAATACTAAATTTGAAATAATTGCGGTGAATCATGTTGAAGTAGCCATTATGAACTTCAAATACGAAATTTGAAAGAATTCCTGCGTAAATTGTATTTAAAATCTTCAAATTACAGAACATAGGGAGGTACCGTTATAGGGGGGGGGGGCTATACGAAGACCTGGACCAACATAGACAATTTTCCGTCACAGACTATAGTATCCATTACGAACTATAATTAAGAAATTTGAAACGATTCCGGTGAACAGTGTTGCTAAAATCATCAAAACACCGCATATAGGGAGGTACAGTTATATGAGGGCTATAACTAAACGTGCACCTATATAGCCCATTTTCAATACCAAGAGACTTTCAGACGAAATACACATTTGAGTAAAATTTTATCAACCAACTTCAATTCTTTCGGAACCTAGAGAATCAGAGTTATAACTATAGATGACATTAGTTGAAAAAATGCATTTCATCGAAATAAATGACTAAGTTCTATACTTGAGTAATCGTAGGCTGAGGATTTATACATTTTAACAATATCTAATACCTTTTTAAGGCTTGTTTTCACACCATGGCAGTTTGATATGATATATATCATTTTAAAGTATATTTGTAAGCTAGCTTTAACCATTTTTGTATGACATTCCAGATAATAACTCTAGAATTTTTAAATAATTTTCCTCACAGTTCAATTTTTCGCACATGCTTATGCCTAAGAATACTTTACAAATTAACTGAAACTTGAATATTGGAAATAGCTGAGTAAGGAATGTATAAATTTTTCAAATTCATTCTTCTGTTGTAAAGTTACATAACATGCAAGGGCATTTTTTCAAATAGTTTACGAAAACAAGAATTTAACATTGGCCATGCAATAATAACATTTGTTGGAGTTCCTCTGCGGCATTTTCACGTTGAAAAATACCATTCGGTAACTTTTATACAGCCATGTTTGAAATTGTAACATGTTCATGATGGGTAGTTTGATAGATGGTTGGATGGATGGACGCATATATGTGTTACAACTAGTGTTCGCTTATTTCTATTTTTTTTTTTTTTTTTTTTTTGTTTTTTTCAACATTTAACCTGAAGCTGACACGTTTTGTAGTAAAATATGTTGGGAATATAACAAGCTTTGGTTACTTTCAGAGAATTGTTTTTCGCTTAAATATTTTCGGGGTAATGAAAATATTTTACACGGTGTGTGTGTGTGCGTGTAATTGGCTCGTGGTGCGGACACAATGTTTGTCAACGTTTACACATTTCATACGTGTAGACATTTTAATTTACGGAAAAACTCCGGACGGGAAACTAAAATATGTAGTCTATTTTTCTCATGAAGATATACACACAAATATATGTTTTATGTAGAATGTTTCTGCGAAAGCAACCAAAAAAAAAAAAAAAAAAACCAGTAAAGAAAGTCTTAAAGTCGGGCGGGGCCAACTTTATGATACCCTACACCACTTTGCTAATTTAGTAAAGCTACCCATAACAATTAAAAGTTTTTATGGGAGAATTCAATCATGCACGCTATGATTATAATTATAAAATTTAAAAGACTAAATATGCCTAAGCATATTTAAATTCGGATTTGTATTGCTCATTTGGTTCACAATTAATTTGAAATCGGATAAAGAATATATGGGAGCTATATCCAAATCAGAACCGATTTCGATAAAATTTGGCAAAGATATTTCGGAGCTGTATTTGATATATTTCCCTGAATATCGTTGTTACGGAGTGCATATTACAAATCGGATGAACAGTATATATGGGAGCTATAGCTATATCTGAACCGATCTTCACCAAATTTGACATACTGGCTTCCAGACTCAATTCGATCGTAAGTGCCAAATTTCATCCAATTTAGGCAAATATTAGACGTTTGGTGCACAATAAAAGGTAAATCGGACGAAGTTATATGTGGGAGCTATATCCAAATCTGAACCGATCATGATAAAATTTAGCAAATGTATTTTTGAGCTGTATTTGATATATTTCCCCAAATATTGTTGTTACAGAGTGCATATTACGGCTGCGGAGGACAAAAATAACAAATCGGATGAACAATATATATATGGGAGCTATAGCTATATCTGAACCGATTTCGATCAAATTTGGCATACCTATTTTCAGGTCCAATCTGATCGTTTGTGCAAAATTCCATACTATTCGAACTGATATTACACGTTTGGTGCACAATAAAAGGCAAATCGGACGAAGATATATATGTGGGAGCCATATATAAATTTTAACCGATTATCTCCAATTTCAATAGAATTCGTCCTTGGGCCAAACAAATGATTTGTGCAAAATTTCATCTGGATAGGGCAATAAATGCGAACTGTACTTTGTTCACAAAAATACATGTACAGACGGACGGACGGACGAACATGCATAAATCGACTCAGAATGTGATTCTATGCAGATC